CCCCCCTTAAAATTCAATGAACAATTCTCCTTCAACAAACTCCCTGTTATATGAATAACATCAAGAAAACTATGACCTTTCATCGACGTAAATCGTCGTGCATGCTAGCTGCAGCTACAGGCTTGCAGCTAATATCTTAAACTTGATTCATTATGTCATTAAAGAATAAGCAAGAAACTAAATATTAAAAGAACTTTTCCCCAAAATCAGTCAATCAATGCATAGCTCAATTCCAAATTAGTTTGAATGGGGTCAATTATATGTATCCTCTATATTCATTCACTCTATTCTGACCAAACTATGTAAAGGGTGTCCAAGAAAGCAATTCTCAATGAATTTCAAGAAAATTTGGCATCGACCTTAAATGACTTAAAGTAGAATTCTTCAATATTTATTTCACTTTATATTCTAAAAAAACGAAAAAATTCCTAGGATGTGAACCTTCCTTGAATTCAAAAGTAACAAAATCAAGAATCAAGAATTGGACTATAAAAGCAAACAAAGGATAATGCAAAATACATAGAAAAAAAGGAAAGGGAAATATTGTAGGCAATTGGGGTGGAAGGTGGAGTGACTTACAAAGTTAAAACTGGTTCCCGCGCAATCTTTAACTTCCTGAAGTTGTACTATGGAAGTTAGAACATAGATTCAAGAACCAGTTTATGAAACAGTATTTCAGACGAAAGGACTTGGGACCGTTTCAGTTAATATCAAATTAGACCCCTCTATTCTCCATTTCTAACATTCTTGCCCCCACTTTTCCTTTTGACTAGTAGTATAAGGACTGTGGAGTTTCGGAAGTCATTTTCACTGAAGATAATATCTAAAAGAAATATTTTTTTAGGGCAGACTGGTGCACAAAATATCTTGCGCCTGAAAAGGACCGTCCCCTTAAATATAATATAGGCAGTCTACTCTATAACTATATTAGCAATATAGGAGAGTTTTTTGATTAAGTGTTCTAGTACAAAATTGATAAAATTGTTAGTTAAAGTAAGTAATATATGAAATTAATAGTCAAGATGCATGGTTGTAAGAAAATTATGTTCGTGCATAAGTAAGGAAGTCATTTACTTTCTTTTAATCGACCCCTCTCTAATAAAAAAATCCTGAGTCGAGGGTCTATTGGAAACAACATCTCTATCCTCACAAGGTAGGGGTAAGTTCTGCATACATACTATCCTCCCCAAACCCTACGATGCGAAATAATACTGAGTATGTTCCCTAAGCCCTACGATGCGGAATAATACTAGTATGTTGTTCTTGTCGTTTACTGAAAACTAAACATCAAAAGTGACATTCTTTTGTCGTATCAAATGCACCAAAACTCTAAATTAATTGGAACTGCAACTTTCAAATACCCTTTTTCAATTTAATTTTTTTCCTTCAAATCTCAACAAATTCACGTCCATTCTAGCTCGTGCCCCACCTTTTGTGAAGTAGGTAAAGTCAGGATCAAAATAAGCTTTATATAATATAAGTCTTTTTCATATCAATATCTTAATACAAAAAGTTAAGAAAATGGAAACCGACCAAGAGGATATAGACAAAAAGAACTATGTAATGGCTGCGACTTTGATCTATAGACTGCATAAGTTATTTGGCAGCACTTATAAAATCTGGTCGTGAAATCCACAAACTCTTCTATTTAAAAATAAAAAGCTGTTAGTATTTTATAAGGAATATTAGACCATTGCCCTTTCATGAAGTGGGGGGTCACGCTGACAGTGACGATCTGACTCAGAAATGGATATATAATTTAAATTGTATGAGTTCGAGTTCGAAATTGATATTAGATAACATGTGCACTTAGGTTTGGTATTTCAATTTGCCAACAACAACAAAACGAGAGGAATATAATGGACATACATTTGAAAGAAAAAGCTCCCCCACTCCTTAAGATAACACATACTATCCTGCAATAAAGTGATGAATGTGTGAATAAAATCTCACGTTGAAATTGGACAAGAAAAAAGAAGATACATATAAAAGGTACAAATACTCTTAATAGCGTTGAGATTTTTTGGAGAAACTATGTGAACTGGACCGAAGTAAGCAGTAATTATGCTGAGAGTGATTTTGTGCTGGTTTAGCCCAACAAATAAGATGGACAATAACATTCATAGTATGATTTACCGATATTTTTTCTCCAAAAGAATAACTTCAAGCTAGGAATTTAAGCATGGATAGCTTTATTAAACAATTAGCTAGAAGTCGGGTATGTCTGTTCAACAAAAACTAAGGCGCTAATTGGTAGATCGTAGATTGCCGGGTATGAATTCGATTCTAAGTCAGAGAATGCCCAGGAAAAGGATCTTATTTTTATAGTTTTGAAAGTAGCCATAGACATATCATTGCTAAGAGAAGAGCTGGAGATTTCTTGCTAATCAGGTGCTATTATTGTACTATAATGATTATTGTAATGTCAGAGCAGATAGGACTACCAATCCGTGAGTAAATTAACCTTGTCTGCACTACCACCTTAATTTACTAGACCTTGGGGAATTGCTAGTTACCTAACTCTATGTGGCAGCCTACTTACGTTTTGTCGTTTTCCTACGAGACCTTCATTATGCGGGGCACCCCACCTTAGTTTTGTTGTTATTGACGATATACAATATTCAAAAAATATAAGCAATTTTCTTTTAATATTTATGGTTGAGTTTTATTGAAAACATATAGATGAGATCATATACAAAATGTAAGGAAGATTGAAGGTGATATGGACTAGTTTTAAATCTAAATTCATAGTGAAAATCGAGTTTAAAAATTTCTCTGCGATATATGTATCTAACATGTAGCTCACATGTATCTCACACATAGTTAAATGTGGATATACGGGGAATACACATATGATATATACGTGATGCACACGTGATACATGAAAGATACACCATGTGATATACATATCATCTACTTGCATGTTCATCTTTTATTTTGTATTTTCAATTGAAACCACCTCAAATCTCCACCAAATCGTCTCAAAATTAAGATTCAAACTTCTTGAGATATATCTAATATATTTCAACAAACTCACTCGAAATATATTTTACTTTTGGTGACCCGATTTCAAACTAAAGCTTAAGCGACCTTCAATTGCTTTCAATAGAGTTTTAGCTCATTTTCTTTTTATTTTTTAGTTTGTAGCTGCTAAGCTCATTTAGCTTTGTCCTGAAATTTTAAACTAAAAATATTAATTTCAGGATAATTCAGAATATTTTTGTCCTGAATAATTAAACTGAAAAATTAAAATTCAGAACACACTAACTAATTCCTAAATAACAGCCCTTTAGAGTGGCTACTTGGTGTCATTTCTACTACAAAATTGTAACTCATAAGGTAACTTTAATTGAGTGGCCATAAGTGGTCGATGCTTAACGGATGATGTTTTAGTATATTATTGAATTAATTCTTTGGATGATTAATCAACTTATAGAAATAATCTATCAAAGTAATTATTATTATTGTTTTTTATTTTGTTTTTTTAAATAACAAAGTCACATAACTATTGCTTTTTGACTCAAAAAAGGAAAAAACAGATAATACCCTAATACCTGCCTAAACTATAAACCTTTATCAGTTGCCTACCTAAACTATCACCTGTCCCCGAAACCCCCCTGAGCTATATCTTCCTTCAGAATAACTACCCATCGCATTCTTACTAATGAGTGTAATACACTCTCCAAATTATTTTTAAAATCCGCCACGTAGCAATTTACGTGGATATTTGTTTATCTTGATCTAAAAAATAGACTTAATTAAGATTTTAATACTCTTTTTTATATAATTGTAAAAAATTATATTGTAAAAATAAAAAAGGGGCAAGGGTTAAAACTAATGGGTCACCTGTGAAAAAACGCATTTTCCCTTTGCTCTCATTGGAGACTTACTCTCATCAGAGAATGGCTACACTAATCTCTCGGTAGTGATTTTCTCCATTAATCTTAATTCTAACCTCGATTTCATTGTCTATTCTTGCTTCCGTTCGAAAATCGGGATAAAACCTAGGGTGTTTGCTCCTAAATCGGTATAGAAGATTATGATTTCATAGACTTAAATTTTGAAGATTGTTGAAAGGAAATACCAAAATTGTTAAAGAAGATAGCTACACACTAGTCCTATTTTTTTATTCCCTACTTTTTTGAAAGGCACTAAACCTCATGCTCTACAAATACTTGAAAGGGAGTTCCTTCTTTCAATAAATTTAGGTAAGAAATGACGGATGAATAAAACTAGAAAGATAAGAAATAAAATCAGAAATAACAAGAGAGAGAGAGAGAGAGAGAATTTCAGATGGATTCAAATGAAGAAATGGAAAAGAACGGAGAAAAAATGGAGAAGAAAAGTAAAAAAAATGAGGAAGAAAGGTGAAATATAAAGATAAAGAGGAGAAAACAAAAATAAATACTTCGTATGTTTTAATTTATGTGAAACCATTTAACTGAGCACGGAGTTTAAGAAAAGAGAAAAGACTTTTGAACTTGTGGTGTAAAATGAGTCACATATATTTTGTGTGGATATAAATCATTGCATATAGGTAAAGTTTTTCCAAATATGGAAAGGAGTCATTCTTTTTGGCATGGACTAAAAAGGAAATATGTTCACATAAATTGAAACGGAGGGAGTATAAGTTTTAAAAAAGAAGGGCTAATTAGTTGTTAGACACGCCATTTTAATGGCTTTTTCTTTGCCTTCAGGCGCTCTTGGGTGATTTATTACACACATAATACCACATAAGTGACGAGAGGATTTTATTATAAAGGGGGATATAGTTTAGGGGGTTTTCAAGAATAAATGATAGTTTAAGTAGTCACCTGACAAAAGTTGTATAGTTTAGGCGGTTCATAAGGTATTAACTCAAAATGAAAGCACTCATTTGACAAGTCATGTAATATTAAAAATCTTTTTTTTTTTTAATTATAAAACTCATTTAACCTTGTCTTTCATTCCCATTTAACCCACCTAATAATAAAATGGGCCTCCACAAAGAAGTGAAACTCGATTATTGCTGCCAATATTTTATTGTTATTACATTATAAGATAATTTAATATAATAATTGTTTGTTTAAAAAGTGTTAAGCTCTTTGTTAGACTAATTAATGATGAGATAGAGGGTGAATTCTTGTTAAATATAATAAGATCTACACAAAAAACTTGGACAGATCCGTGGAGTGAGATCCCGTTTATGAGTAACAAAGATCAGATATGTGTTCAGTGATTATTAATGAATATTGTAATAAGAACATTCAATAAATGTAGACAATGTCAATAAATCTAATAAAAAGGAATTTATCACCCAAATATTATATGACTTGGATGATTCTTCCACCTGGAAGCAACATGGAAGGATGAGAAGTGAGGATGAATAAGGAATCTTTGGATCTTATGAACAAAAATGAATAACGTATGTTGAGCAAAGTAGTTAGTGTACAAGACAAGATATATATATTTTTTTTGGTCAACTCTTTACAAAGTGCTCTTATCAAGAAGTGAAGATCCCTCTTTTGTTCTCTATCTTTTCCTATTGATAAGGGATATTCCTAAGAAACCCTAAAAAGTACAACATAAGGAAAATCCAAGGGAATATTCCTTATGTCTATTTCTTAACCTATCCTACCGTTACTTTTTTACTCCATTTGCTCGTCTTTAGCGATAATCCTTCTAAAGACGACTCCTCGCTATTATGTCGTGGTCGACCTCGTCCTCGACCCTGTTTATCTGCAGTTATCAAGCCGTC